CTGGGGAGGCGTGGTTGATGGTATTGGTTGACCCCATTGGCTGAGTTAGGCCCACCTGGGTGATGTCATGAGCCGGAGCCTAGTTGGGCACCCAGGTGTACCTCCCACCTGGCTGGGGGCTTGAGTATGAGCATGCTCAATTGGTGTTCATAAGTAATTTCTTTGCAACCTTCTCTATGGGGGACTTTGCAGGCATGGGAGAGACAAGCCCCTTGTCCCTGGATCTAGCTGCCTAACAAGAACTTCGGTGACCCTGGTGGCCTAGTAGCTGCTCACTACAAGGTCAGCAGCCGGAAAGCATCAGCCAGCCTCTCTTCAGGAGAAAGATGAACTTTCTACTATAAAAAGGGATCAGGTATCAGGCATCATCAGAACAAAAAAATATATTGTGAATGGGGGTGTGTGTGGAGTGGAGACCCAAAGCCCATTTGTAGGCCACTGAACATCCCTTACAGAAGGGTCTCAGGGAGGAGACAGCCAGTCAGGGTGCAATGTAGCAATGATGAAACACAACTTTTCCTCTAGTTCCTAAATGCTTCCTACCACCTCACTCCCACCCCCACTATCCATCCTACTTCGACCTTACAAACCTGGCTAGACCAGAGGATGTATACTGTACAGATAGGAACTGGAAACGGAATCCAGGGCAGATGATCCCTTCAGGACCAGTGGTGTGAGTGGCAATATAGGGAGGGTGGGTTGGAAAGGGGGAACTGATTACAAGGATCTGCATATAACCTCCTCCCTGGGGGACGGTCAACAGAAAAGTGGGTGAAGGGAGACGTCAGTGCAAGATATAAAAATAATTCATAAATGATCAAGGGTTCATGAGGGAGCGGAGACTAGGGAGGGAGGGGGGAAAATGAGGACCTGATGCCAGGGGCTTAGGTGGAGAACAAATGTTTTGAGAATGATGAGGGCAATGAATGTACAAATGTGCTTTACACAATTGATGATTGTATGGATTGTGATAAGAGTTGTATGAGCCCCTCATAAAACAATTTTTTAAAAAAGAAAAATCTTTTTAAAAAGTCTCAGGAACTCCCGGGAAGTAACCTGATCTATAGGTTTGCTATGAGTTGGCATTGACTTGCTGGCAGTGGGCTAGTTGTGTCCAGTGTACCTGCACTGTTTTACCACTACCCTCTGCAATCAAGTCCATTCTGAGTCACAGCAACCCTGCAGGGCAGAGTGCAACTGCCCCCGTGGCTTCCCAAGAGGCTCGCTGTTTCCAGGAGTAGAAAACCTCATCTTTCTCCCAAGGTGCAGCCAGCTGACGACCTTGTAATCAGCAGCCCACCAGGGCTCCTCGTTAGACCTGCATTGTAGGATTCACATAGCATTAGGTATAGGGTAGGAACTGGGTATTATAGGAAGGGAGTAGTTTCTAATGATTGACTCATTTGGGACCGATTTCCCCAAATGAGATAATTAGTCATTAGTAGTTGACATGCTTACATTTAATTCCAGCCCTTCTAGCCCCTCCTTCCCTCACCCTTTAAAAGATCAAACCCGCTCCTGCCCAGTCCATTCTCCCCGAGCGGCCCTGTAGGATAGAGTAGAACTGCCCCCTAGAGTTTCCGAGGGCCACAAGATGGATTGACCCAGTGGCTTCAATAGTGGCCTCTGACCTCACGATGATGGCGGCACAGGAGCGGGCAGTCCCTCGTTCTCTTGTACATCCGGGTGCTATGCGTTGGAACCTGGTCAGCAGCTCTTGCGGGAGCAGCCGGTAAGTCTGTTCGGCCTTTCTAAGTAGGTGGAAGGGGACCTGTACGTGCCTTTTGCAGCATCAAATAGAGGCGCTTGCTCGCTTTGTGAGGAGGGAGCCCTGGAGCTGCCGTGGGTTAAGCGTTGGACCTCCGAACTCACCAGGAGTCCTCGGCTTTTCAAAGCCATCAGCTGCTCCCCGGAAGAAAGAGAAGGCCTTTGTTTTCCATCCAGATTTATAGCTTCGGAGTGGCATTAGCCAATCACAAAAGGGCAAAGATAAGCCCACTGCTGTAAGGAACAAAACAAGATAAAGGGTTCCCTACCCAAGGGAGTGACTTTGGAGAGTGCGCAGGGAATGAAGGGAGGGAAGGTAAAGCAGAGGGCGGCAAACTGCCCCCACGGCCATATGTGGTGGCCCTTTCAGTACGTCTCGCTGTGGCTCGGAAGTAAAATGGAAAAACTTTTAAAGGGTATTCTTCGGATCCCGGTGATTTCATTTGTCCGCAAAGTTATATTTATAGCTTTCGAATAATTTTACAGCATTCTATGAGGACAGGACTGGTTCTTCCATCTCAAAACCTTGCTCACCCCTGGGCTAGGCTGTTGATGGGTCTCATCTTGGGTGAAATGGAAGACAGTCGTCCACAGATCGAGATGAGAAACCAAGGAGCAGAGGACGGGTGAATGATCTAGGGGGAATCAATGAGTAGTTCAGATTGAGGATTATAAAGGTGATGATCTGAAATGTAAACCCCACCGAATTTACAACCAAAAAATTATTTGAAAAGAAAAAAGATAAACAGCTTCAGAAGCCTCATGGGGCAGATATACTCTGCCCTAGTAGGAGGTCACAGTCTGAATCCACTTAATGGCAATGGGTTTTGTTTTTCAGGGCCCCCTCTCCGCATTTGGGGAAGCTACATACTTATAACTTGTGAACTAGATGCCCCTTATCTTTAAAGTATGCATCTGCTTGTTTTTTTGTTAAACATTAGGATATCTATTTTCTAATTAGCCTTGAAAACAGTGATTCAAGAAGGCCTTTTGACCTCCGATCCTTTCTCAGGGAAGCTGGCTTAGAGCACCAATGCTCGACTAGGCCTTTGCTGCTTACATTTCCTGAAGCATTGCATCAGTTGCTCAGGGCTTACCATTTTCAGACTACAGTAACATAAACCCAATTGTGGACCACTGTGGGCAATTCATTTCCTAGGATGATGCTTTATAGTCATTCAGGAAAGGCCCTCACTCCCTGATGTTGTTTCCTATGTCTGAGGGGAAGCCAATATTCCGTTCTCTGTGGTCCTCAACCAAGTGCCACCTCACTGCCATTGGGTTGATTCTGTGCCATAAGCACTTGTAGACCCACGTGTCCTGAATGGCAGTGGATTCTAAACTGGAACACACCTGACGGGGCATGTTGGCTGCTACTGAGCCAGCCCTTGACTCATAGTGACCCCACGCACAATGGACCCCAATACTGCCAGGTCTTGCACCATCCCCATGATCAGTTTATGAATTGGACTGTTGGGTTCCATAGTTTGTGCTGACTGATTTTCAGAAGCTGATTTCCAAACCTTTCTTCCTAGATTGTCTTAGTCTGAAATCCTCGCGGGCACGTCTTCAGCATCTCAGCAGCACACAAGCCACCAAAGTAGGACAAACTGGTGTCCCTTGCCATTAGCATCTCCCTGCCATGGACTCCATTTCGACTCTTAGTGACCCTATATGACAGAGTAGAACTGCCCCCTGTGGGTGTTCTGTGAGACTAACTGTTAGGCTGGGCTGACTAGGGAAACAAATTCATAGACACTCATATGTGTTTAAGAAAGAGCTTTTTTATAAAAGAACAATTGTACATTAAGAAAACAGCCCAGCCCAGTCCAGGTCAAGTCCATAAGTCTGATATTTCCCCATATGTCAATACCAGCCCATAAATTCCTCTTTAGACTCACACAGCCATGCAATGATACTGAATGCAGGAAGATCACAGGCCAGCGTGTGGAATGTCTTGTGGATCCACTGGTGGTGGTAGCATCTCAGCTCTGGCAGGGGTCTCCATGTGGCTCCTC